ATAAATGTGTCCTCGTTCTTTTTTTTCCCAAGTCAAGTGCAGGGAGACAAATTCAGGTGATACTAATAGGAAACAGAACAGCTAGGAAGAGGGGGAGTTCAAGGAGAAAAGAATAAAAGGAGCAATGAAAGCATGAGGATGAGAGGACAGAAGGAATAGATAGAAGGGACACAATGAAAAACTTGCAGGTTAAAAAGAATTTTCCCTTTTTCCAACCGAGGCAGATTATTCCTCCCTCTTTCTTTTCTGACAATGACATGCTTCGTCTCTCAACCTGCTCTCCAGTATCAAATAGCTGTGACCATGCGTAACATAGCATTCACTATCAAACCCTGTTTGCTGCCTAAGCTGCATGTGTATGCATAAACTCATTTACGTCAGCACACGAATACGAACTATTCTGTCTCTCAGAAGAGGTCAGTTAAAACACAAGGTGAGTCGAGTACTTGCTGCATACTGTACTTTGCTGATTATTCTCATATGAAAAAGATGGGGCATCACCAAGGACTTTCATTAGGATGCTACATCAAAGAATCAGTTACACAGAAAAGAAAGCTTTAGAAGCATAAAAAAAACATTTTGCAGTTTGAGGCAACTTCAAAATCCAGCAAAAAAATTCTAAATATTCTCTTATATAGCCACAAACTGTAAGTTGTTTATCATCGTATAAAAAACAAAACAAAAAACTAGATAGCTATCAGTTTTGACAAATACAAATCGGACAAGTGCGGCAAACATCTGTATTCAGTATGGATATTGTGTGTAAATCTGTGAAAATCTGTTATTTGGTCTCGCATCCAACTTTCAACCAGATTCTGTTCTGGGCTCTGAATGGGCCATATGAATATGATTAATGTTTAAGTTTAGTTATATATCAACCTTTTATCAACTCAGACCAGCTACAATGTATCCGCTGAGCAACCGTAACCTCAAAGTAATATTGCCACCTAGACCAAAAGAAAAAAAACTGGATATGTTCCCCCACCCATGGCATTCATACAAACATTTATAAAGACAAAACTTCTCTCTTAACCTGCCCTCGTCCCTTTGGGATGGGGGATAGGCGGCCCTTCCACTGAAGCTGTGCTCATGTGGTATCGTAATTATGGTTAATAAATAAAAAAAAACAGACTTGAAAATTGTAAATGACCACCCACTCATGTTGTAATTTCCAGTGGCCAGCTGAAAAATGTTTATGATACCCGAGTTACTGAGATGAAGTAAACTTTGACCTTTCAACATGGTGGAGAAAAGAGAAACAAGTCTGTATGGAGAAAACTGCATTGCTAAATGTTATCTCTCATTGTTGTTGTAGCCTACAAATTGCTGTGACATATTTTTTTTTTTAAAGTAGCTGCATTTAAAGTTGCTTTTTTTTTTTTAATAATTGTCGATGTTTGATTTTATCAGATGCTGTCTAGCAGTCTGTCGAAGATAGCAGCCAGCAGGGTACTGTGCAAACCATGTTCTGATAAGGAGAATTTTCTCATTTGATCTTTTGTGTATGCCAGTGAGCACATGATTTACTGGAACCAGGACGTGACCCTATAACTGTCTTGCCCAAGTGGCAGGTCACGATAATCTATGTTTCACCATGTTCCTTTTCTCGACCGCAATTAGAGCACTTGAACACACGGTGCTGGTCATTTCCAAGTGGAAAGGATCAGGCTGTGATCTTCTGCACTAAGATGTTGGATGTTCTTTTCTTGCATCTGTTGGAGACACTTCTCAATGGTGGTAGTTACTGCCTTGAGTGCTACTGTGACTACTGGTGATACAGTAACATGAACCTACCAGACTCTTTATAGTTCTTCCCTGCATCATTGATATTTGTCTAGTTTCTTGTGTTCTTTTTGCCTATGTTCCCATCATTTCGAATGGCAACATCTGTCACAAAGGCTGTCCTATGCAGCTTATCCGATGTTTCTGAACACTATACAAGCCACTTGGTTATGATGTTCCATGTATTCCTTTCCTGCTAGGATCTAACACCCTGTTATGAGATGCTGGATTTTTCCTCGGGCCTATTTGAATAGCCTGTACCCGGGTATATAGTATATAGATATATAGTCTATTGCTGTGGTTCTCAAAGCCTGCTCCTCTGCTGTCATGATTAGTGCTTGTATGCTGTTCAGCCCTTTGGTAGCAATTGGTAGGATTTGGTCACTTCATCTATCTTATGGTAGTACATGTCATGGAGGGTTTTTTTTTTTCCTCCCATGAGGGGTCCTTCAGTTCCTTCTCTCCCATCTTAAATTGTCTGAGACATACAGTACACTGAGCACCTTGTTTCTCTGGGCCATCTTCCTGATACATTCTTAGAGCTTGGATGTTTGATCTTCAGTAGTGGCTCTGATGTTTACTAGGCCTCTGTCTCATTCTTAGCACGTACAGTATAGCCTTTGGATGCTAGATTTGGGGTGAAACCCACCATACATGATGGACAGCTCACATGTTACACATTAGTTGTCTAAATCTCCTCTTTTAACCAACTTATTACTCTAGCAGTGTTTCTGACTGCTGACAGTAGCTGTTGATTGCTGGTATTTGTCTGTTGCGGATTTCTTTGTGGTTGCCATTTGCCTCTGATATGCCAAGGGGCTTAGTGATATTTACTCATTTATTGTCTGTCTGAAAGCTGCACAAAACAAATTTTTTTTTTGTATACACAGTGTATACAAAATGACAATAAAAGTTGTCTAAGTCTATCTAATACTCTCTATGTGTTTTACGTTCCCCCTCTTTTTCACCATTCTGACACTTTTTTAAAGACCAAATGAAATTCCAGCAACCCTGCTGTAGATCCTGGTGAAGTGGATAATGCCTCACACTCTCTCAAAATGGCCCCATTCCTGACTCTGTATCCAGAGCAAGTTGAATTGATTATGTGGTTAAGGGCACTCAGGCTATCTCCTTGGTATTCATACCAGATTTGAAGGAGATTCGTGCAGTTGGCTTGAATTGGTTTCATGGGTGGTTTTTCACAGCCACATGGAGTTTGCAATGAAGATTTAGTGTATTGGTGACCTTGTACAGCTTTGAGTGTTCAATGACCCATGTGTCATTTAGTAATAGGTTTTCTTATAATCAACCAAGGCAGCGCACAGGGTTTCTGTCTTGGTTTGCAGTCTCGGGCAAATGTTCTGTTAACCAGCAGCTGATGTCTGGTTCCTCTTGAGCATTTACCATAGCCTCTCCTGGCCTTCTTCTAGGACAACTGACCCAAATAAAATCTTATAGCAGATCACTTAGAAAAACAAATTGAGAAGTCATTTAAATACTTGTAAAGACAAGGCCACATTCACCCCCTCTAAATGAAATCCTATATCAAGGAACCAAAAATATGTCATGCCTGTTTTGTTGCTTGTCAACAACTTTTACCTTAGTTAGCTCTCATGTATAAAGGCAAGCTAAAACTGCTGTAAAGCTGCGTTTTAAGTAACATGACCCATTCAGCAACATATCCGACATATTGAGTTTTTGAGAAGGAGGCCTCCATAGAGCATCAATATGTAATGTTAATTGACCTTAAAAAAACATTTATTATACATCATATTAGGCTTATAATCGGGTCAAAGGTTACGCAGTGTTGCTTCAGAATGTCACTGAGATAGACATGGCTGAAATAAACAGAAATTAGAGATTGCCAACTGGCCTGGACAATATATTTGAGAAAAGTGAATCAAGGTTTCTGGAATGTGTTCCTACTGGGCAAGTTGAAATTGTTTTGTCAAGTCTTCTAAAACAGGTGATGTTACATGCTTTCGAAAGATGTAGTGAAAATGAGGGTGGAATCAGGTGATGAGTCATTTGAGGTAAACGTTCACTATGTCAGAATATATTTGGCTAATGTATTAACCTCCCATTTAGCACATTAACCTTTTTTTTTAAAGAAAAAGACACAACTTCAAAAAGACAGAGACATGTAAATCAACCTTTTCCAATATGATACTTTAAAAATATCTATATACAAAAGGAGTGATATTTAGTGACTACTTAAGGCAGCTGGGGGCACTAGATTTAATTTTGACCACTCAAAGTAAAGAATTTTGTGTGCATAATATATGGTGACAATATGTGGAAATAAAAGTTAAAAGGATAAGAGTAGAGTGTTATTGAGGAATGTTTTTTTTCAAATGTGTTTGAAATTTTAATTGAAAAACATAATATATGGGACATTTTTTCATGTTTTTACAAATGAGGAAATTATTTAGCAATCAGTTTCTTTCAGGCTGAGAAGACAAAGTTATCATCATTAGGCATAATTAAGGCCTCATGAATGCTGTGTTTACTGGCTTTTTACTGTCAAAAGAAAATTGTGTCATCGCCAATTAGAATGAATGTAAGCGCAGACAGACAATCAGATCAAACAGGATTAGTAGCAGCAATGTCAAACACACCAACTTAGGTGATCTAAGAAACAAAGATAAAAGAGGAGGACTAGATGGCAAAAACATTCTGAAATAAGAACAAAAAGAGGCTGAAAAGCCTTGAGAAAATATAAAAACAGATAGAATCACAGCAGCAGTAGTAGTAGACTGTTCAGGCAGAAAATCAAAGGTATGAATATAGTGAGTGACCCAAGCCTGGGTGCTTATTTCTGTTTACGTGTGTGTGTGAGTTTATGTGTGCCGTGGCTCTATTCCCAGGATAAGATACTTCCCTGCTGCCAAAGTTTCTCTGGGTCTACCCTAATGCCAGGGTCAGTGTAATGAAATACACCAACATAGGATTTAAAACCACAGTATTCTACTGGAATAAGTCTCTAATAAGGTATAAAAAAAGACAAAATATTTTAATCAAAGAGGAGGAGCTAATAAAGTGACAAGAATTTTTTTTAAGAGATATGTAAGAGTTCATGAGAAAATAACAGTAGGTAAGACCCAGAGATTGAAATCGATTAAACAGGAGTGAGAGGGAGGTTGAGAGAAAGAGAGAGAGGGAGAGAGAGAATCACTGGGCTCAGTGAGCAGACGAGGATCAGCAGCGTCAGAATGAGCCTGGGAGAGATAGAAAGCGGTAGAGAGTCAGAGGGGAGGAGAAGAGATCGTTGTCGAGGACTAAAAGGACTACCAGCATGCGGACCAAAGTGGATCATAAGAAAAGGTAAGTGACTTTGAAAGCAAAAGCAAAGGCAGCTGTTAGAAAATATCACTAAGTGTATCGGGTGGAGTATACAGAAGAGTGATGGACTATAAAAGCTTACAAGGTACTTTTATTTCCAGGTCTATATCGACCCTCTCAGGAGTGTTCCCGGGCTGACAGCCTAAAGCTATTACTTTCTGTTTCAAAGCACTTCATTTAAGATTAAAGATTCTGAATGAATATTTGAATAGAGACATCTGGGATTGTTTGGAAGCAGTTGAAAAAATATGCAAAACCCCTGCACTGTTCAACTAAATATCAGAAAAAAACAATCTCAGCTGCTTTTATTTGTTCTTAATCTATGATTTATGAAATAAACTATGTCTACTCCCAAAACCTGCATGAGTATAAACACTGCATTTTGCATTTTTATTAAGAAGGTTGTAAAATATAATCAACACGGATCTATGTTCCAGCAGGTATGACATCCAATCCATCTGAAGAACAAGGTTTGATGCATAGGAATGAACTGGAGTGTGTGCGTAAAGCATGTTCTGCTCAGTCAATGCTCATATTAATTTTTATATTTAGTGCTTTTATTATTTTATATTTAGTTTTTAATAAGAATTCTACATCTTTATGTTAGTGACTGTATGTGTTAATTGAATGTTATTAAAAGCATTTGAACTGGTCGCCAGGGCAACAGGGATAGCTTTAAAATCATGTTTATACTAATGTGTCCTATTACAGGGGAGACTTTGACTGAGGGAACAAATTCTCAGTTAATGCATTCACATTAAAGCGGTGTGCCTGCTTTCATAAGCCCCATTAATATATGTAATTGAATCAGAATTTTCGAGTTTGGGTTAAAGTATCTACCTTTATTTTTAGGTCAGCACATGGTAAATGTCCCCTTAAATTAGAGTATAGTGTGATTGCACAAGGAGATGCACTGCAGAGTGTCTGACTATATATGCCCCTTAAACTGATGTAATGTTTTGACTCAGTTAGGACATGTACTGTATTATAAAAAGCTGTGAATACATATGTATGAGGTAAAATCTCTCACCACAAGATTTTCTAAACTTGTTTAAACAGCAGAGTGTGGAACGTAAAAGTGACAGATTTGTGCTCTTTCAATTGTCATTTACTGACTAAGTGCATGATGTTCAAATTCAGTCTTTGCATATAATCTGTTTATCTTTGCAGAATTTTTTATAGAGCAGGCTTCTGCAAAATCCTTAGGAGCAGCATTTTGCTTTGCACTCATGAGCCGTTAAAGTTGCGTTGCTTTGTATCAAATCTTTTTCGTATCTTTCCCCTAAAGATATTTTTGTTGATTGCTGCAAAATGCTCACTACTAAATTCTCTTTCATGCAGCACCAGCTTTCACTTTTTGAGATGGTTTTTTCTTTTGGCAAAAACAATGTTGGATTCAAGAGTACAGTGTAGCTCTTCTATGTAAAAAGGGCTGATGTTTGTACATTGATCAATGCAAAGTTTAATTAGCAACCAGTACATCTATGCCACCATAGAAAGGTTTGAGCTCCTTTGCTGTCCATTTCTGCCAAACATAAACAGACAGTATAAGTCAGTTATTAAACCCTAACGGAATGTTAAAAGAGTAATTTTGTATTTTATCAGGTGTTGTAATTGGGGTTTTTTATGCCTTGCAGAAGCAGAAAAATCTAGTTCTTTTCAGGTGTCACCTGCTAATTTTGGCTTTGACAAAATATTCTGTGCTACAAAAGTGAATAAAAAAAAAGGTTATGTTAATTAATTGTGGTAATATAAGGAAAAAAATAAGATATTACAATATCCCCAACATTTATCAAACAATGCATATCTGCTCACCTATATCAGGGGGTTTTGGTAAACGTAAAAAAAATTTGGATCATGATTTGTTGATAAAAACATTCAGACAGTAAAAATGGTGGGACTACTTTAGCTTTTATTCATCTAGCTTACTGACTTTAAAAGATTTTTGTTTTCTGAATCCGTCCTGCTGATCAGTAAATAGAGTTGTTAAAAATCTAATAAGAAAATAGATGAGTCTGATCTGATAGATATTTTCCAATTTTGGTACTTCTTAAGAATTATTAAGATCTAAAAGTAGAAGGAATTGGTGATCATAAAAGATAAAACTTTTACCTATAAAAAACATCTATCTTCCTATGTTAATGAATCACTTCATAAGCTAAAATGTTTAAATGTTTTACTTTAACAGTGGGTTACATGTATTAGATATGTTGTTTCTGAGCTTGTTCAAGTTAAGTGATGTATTTTTGTATTTACTAATGAATAACTCAGAGATCCTACCTGTTAATAAAAACCATGCCTAACACAATAAGACTCAAATAAAGGCTAAATTAAAATTTGAAAGGTGTTTAATGTGATTCACAGCGAACACATTTTATCAATAGGTGACAACAATAAACCCACATTTGCTTTCGTTCCATAGCTTTTCACCAGACAGTGACGGATGATATGGAGAAAGAGCAAATGGAGGTTAAAGAAGGACTGACAGGCACACAAGGGGGAGAAAAAAAAAACTGTGCCTGTGTTTGAGAGAGAGAGTGTCGCTAGCAATTTAGCAGCTCCGTTAGCCGGACAGACTTTGATAAAGTGATGAGACATAGATGAAATGCAATGAAAGATAGAGGGACAGGGAAGTCAGAGGGAAAGAATTATAGTAGCTGTTCTGACCAACACAGCATTATGAGGGAATATAATAAACTAAGGGTTACTGACTGTTTTCAATAGTCCAACTAACCACATGATATTTAAATCCAGAATCTGATAATTATCTGTTAGTCTGTGCAATATTTCCCAGGTGGCAGGTTTCTGCAAAAGCCATTAGAGCAGTATTTTACCTAACACTCACAGTTGAAAAAGTTGTGAAAGTATAAAGATGAGAGGACTGAAGAGCACTTAAAAATGTTGATTAGGAGAAAATTAGGAGATGAGTTGAAACTAAAGCTGAAAGAACATGGGAGAATAAGAATCCTATTACATCTTGTTAGCCACTTATAAAGGAGCCATTTGCTTTTGCACCTGAATTACTGCAGGTGCCTTAAGTCTGGAGCTTTGTTTTCATGTCTTAGCACAACAAAGCCACTTCTTCTCCATATCAAGTGTTTCTCTTATTATTGGATGTTTGGATGCGAGTAGCTCATAAATATTCAGCATTTCCATTTGCTTCCCTGCTCAGTTGCTCAACCAAGACATCACATAAATTCCTCCAGCCAACAACAATACAAATGAATCAGACCAGTAGATGGATTAGCCAATATTGTTTCTTTTTCTAAATGTTTCCTTGTTTGTTTTAAGGAGTCTGAGGATTTGTCAAAGGAAATAGCCCACTGCTTCTCAAACTGTCCTACTTATAATTCCATATTATAAATGATAATGAGTTTGTACTGTATCATTATAAAATTAGCATATGGAAATATAACCCTTTGACCTGTGATACAGTTTCATAATTTAAGACTCAGGATGAGTTTTTATTATGTTTAATCATGAATCTTATTGGAATTTTCTTTTTCAAATAATTTCTTACATTGATAAGGTTATTAGTGGGGAAAACAAGAAGTAATCCCTGCCAAAATCGATTTCCACATTATATGGAGTCTAAATATATTGCAGATGGAACAAGTTCTTTAGAAGGACTTCCAGCTGGAATGTGTTTTTCCTAATCTGAGGATTTCTCAAAGGCCAAAATCTAATTTTCTCTGCTCCATAGGCTGCTGTTTAATTTATTTTCAGCTTTTCCTCACAAAACCCATGCACAGAAAGGAGTTTGATCACATGCATCATGTTATTGTGAAAATCCCCACACAAGGCACGGGGGGGAGGGGTTATGTGCACTTACTAAGTTACATGTAAAATAAATGAAATTAGAGGACCTGTATCTATGAAATACTTAAGTGCTTTGGTTGCATGTTGAGCAGTTTCAATGGACAATAAGGATCTTCAAAACACTTGCATCTTTTACTATCTGAGCGTCATAGAGACATTAAGCTCTTGCATTATGAACAGTAACCTTTTAAAGGCATCTGGCTCCACACTTAAAATGCCGATTAAATTGCATTGCTCCCACATAATACAGATGGACAAAATTAAAATGCATTAGGAACCAGCTGCAGAAAAGACTGTGCCAGTTTCTTTTGAATTATCATTACTAGATTTGCACTTCTGGGAGGCAAAAAATTTTGTAACATAACACTTAAAGACAGATGAGATAAGCAGGTGTTTCTAGAAACAAAAGCAAATCCAGAATCCAGGAGACGCATGTTTTTTGCAATCTGAAATGCTGCACGTGAAACCATTGCCCAAGCGGGTATTTATCCCAGACATCTTTCTAATTATTTTCGTTCACCCTGGCAGAAGTGAATAACTTCTTTTGTTATATGCCTCAGTGCCAGGTTTTAGAGCACAAAGGCATGCTCAAGCTCATGCCACAGAATCTAAATTGGGTGTAAGTCAAGACATTGATTAAGCCATTCTTAAAGATTAATTTGGTTTCCTTTTGCAGTTAAGAGCAGGACTCGTGGTTTGCTTCTGTACTCGTCCTCCTACAAAACACACGTGAGCTTGGGGTCCTTGACTAATGGTTCTACATTTTGCCTCAAGATTTTCTGTAGAATTCATGCTTGCGCCGAATATGGGAAATTATCCAAGTCCTTGGGCAGCAACAACATCAGTTAGACTAACGCCACAATGTGTAACTGTTGGGATGTAAAATGTTTTTTTTTTTTTTTGGGAAAGATATAATGAGATGCAAAATTTCCCAAAAAGTACAACTTCAGCAATCTTGTTTTTTTTACCAAAATAATTTGGAGATCATCGAAGTTTTGTAAATGAGTATACCTCTGTATTTTTATTTGTTAGCAGGGGTTTCAAACTCTCCCATAAATGCCAGCTTTAGTAAGTATCTTTCATTTTACTAAATCATGAACACCCTAACTTAATTAAGGTAATGAGGCCAAAACACTGGTTTATTTATGTAACCTTCAGGAAGA